TACTGCAAACAACTTTTCCTTTTGCCAGTTTTAGGGCTTGTGAAATCTCATTTTGACATATGTATTGTTGTTGTTGTTGTTGTCAGCATATTCTGTAAGGAGTGTACACACTAGCTTGTCCTGTTTTACCATTCTGAAAGCAATAAAGCCTCCTATGTATTCATGTGTAATGGTGGCAGGTGCAGGAATGAATCGGTTAAGGTGGCTGAGTGTGATTGTGTGCGCCTCACTACCTTTTTAGCTATGTACTGTTTTATATATGCAAATTTTTCTTCCTACCAAATAATTCAGCAATAAATAGACCTCTTTCACTTCCCCTTATATCAGACCCAAAGTACTATTTGTACATTGCCATAGGATAAGAAAAGACACAGTTTTATATAATGTATAGAAACAAATATTTATGTATTTGTTTAAAATGCCATGTTGATACAGTAAGTAGAGGAGAGCAATATTTTTACACAAGGACCCGACTTGCTCTAGTAAAAAGAAGCTATTGTTTCTAACCCTCGGGTTTCCTTAAAGTGACACTAAACTCAGAAGTAAAATCTTAAAAATGCATTGAAGTACCTTTAACTATTAACAAAAATGTAGATTACTTGTGTACCACTCAGCTGTAGATCCTCCAATCATCTTTGAATTGGTGCTGACACTGTCCTTCCCTTTCTATTATCTCTGCAGCTGCTTCTTTCAGGTCCTGCAACATTTCCTGTTCGCATTTTAGACACCCACTGATGATATGACTCCTCCGCATGTGCAAAGGAGTTTCTTCATCCCCTGCACACAACTCTATTGGTGACAGATGCCGGGAATGCATTGGGACTGTACACAAAAAAAAAAAAAAATCACTAGACAAAGACACTGTGAAGTTCAAAGGGCCTATTCCCACTTGTCTTGTTTTATGCATCAAAATTCATTTATTTTGCTGCATGAAAATGCATTTCAAGTCGAAATCTCTGTTTTTTTTTCTTTTCATGCCCTTCAGTGTAGTGGGGAAACATTTGGGCCCATTCACACCTACACCTGTGTGTTACAATCAGGGCCGTCTTTAACGCAGGGTAAAGAGGGCACTTGCCCCGAGCCCTGTCATGGTTGTGGGGCCCAAAGCAGCTGCCCCTTGAGCCCGCTGCCCGCCGCGGTCGTACCGTAGAATCAGCACAGAAAAAAAACCCCTTCCTGCATGTGGGCAGGAAGGTACCAAAACATCACATTAGATGGGGGGGTTGGGACGTACCAACTGTTCCATACAACTCGTACGGAACAGTTGGTACGTCCCAAACCCCCCATCCAATGTGATGTTTTGGTACCTTCCTACCCACATGCAGAAAGGGTTTTTTTTCCCTCAGGGGCAGCCGCGGAGCTCTCACAGCTGGAGGCTGAGCGGCAGAGCCTGTGTGTAGTCAAGTCACTGCACTGATAAGGTAAGCCAGCAATGATCTGGAGCTGGGAGGGAAGGGAACAGCAGCAGCTGCTGAGTGAGAGGAGTCTGGGGCTGGCTGGGGGGATAGCAGCAATTGAGGCTTGGTGTCTGGCCTGGGGGGGACAGCACAGCAGCTTAGTTTATATGGCCGACGGGGGGGGGGACTGTAAAAAAAAAAAAAAAAAAATCACTAGACAAAGACACTGTGAAGTTCAAAGGGCCTATTCCCACTTGTCTTGTTTTATGCATCAAAATTCATTTATTTTGCTGCATGAAAATGCATTTCAAGTCGAAATCTCTGTTTTTTTTTCTTTTCATGCCCTTCAGTGTAGTGGGGAAACATTTGGGCCCATTCACACCTACACCTGTGTGTTACAATCAGGGCCGTCTTTAACGCAGGGTAAAGAGGGCACTTGCCCCGAGCCCTGTCATGGTTGTGGGGCCCAAAGCAGCTGCCCCTTGAGCCCGCTGCCCGCCGCGGTCGTACCGTAGAATCAGCACAGAAAAAAAACCCCTTCCTGCATGTGGGCAGGAAGGTACCAAAACATCACATTAGATGGGGGGGTTGGGACGTACCAACTGTTCCATACAACTCGTACGGAACAGTTGGTACGTCCCAAACCCCCCATCCAATGTGATGTTTTGGTACCTTCCTACCCACATGCAGAAAGGGTTTTTTTTCCCTCAGGGGCAGCCGCGGAGCTCTCACAGCTGGAGGCTGAGCGGCAGAGCCTGTGTGTAGTCAAGTCACTGCACTGATAAGGTAAGCCAGCAATGATCTGGAGCTGGGAGGGAAGGGAACAGCAGCAGCTGCTGAGTGAGAGGAGTCTGGGGCTGGCTGGGGGGATAGCAGCAATTGAGGCTTGGTACTCCCATCCACCACACGAGGGTCTCTGGCTGGGAGTATGGAGTTTATCTTCAGCAGCAGATGGAGACTGTCGGCACGCTCCTGCCAGCTCCCGCCCCCGAGACACGGCCAGCACAGTACTGGTGAGTGGCGCCTGGAGAGCCCTGAGGAGAGCGCTGTGGAGAGCGCTGGTTTAACCAGGGCCCTGTGAGGTCTCACTAGGGCTCTGTGGGGTCTAACAAGGCTGGTTAGACCCCACAGTGTCCTGGTGAGACCCCCCACAGGCCTGCTAGGCTGGTGAGGCCCCCACAGAGCCCTAGTTTAGCCAGGCCTCTGCAGGGTCTCACCAGGGCTCTAGAGGGGTCTCACCAGCCCTGGTTAAACCCCACAGAGCCCTGTTGGGACCCTACAAAGTCCTGATGAGACCCTATAGAGCTCTGAAGGGCTCTTTGGGATTTCACCAGGGCTGGTGAGACCCCCTGGAGCCCTGGTGGGACCCTGCAGAGGCCTGGCTAAATCAGGGCTCTGTGGGGGGTCTCACCAGGGCACTGTGGGGTCTAAGCAGCCTAGCTCTGAAGGGCTCTTTACTGTGAGGTCTCACTAGGGCTCTGTGGGGTCTAACAAGGCTGGTTAGACCCCACAGTGCCCTGGTGAGACCCCCCACAGGCCTGCTAGGCTGGTGAGGCCCCCACAGAGCCCTAGTTTAGCCAGGCCTCTGCAGGGTCTCACCAGGGCTCTAGAGGGGTCTCACCAGCCCTGGTTAAACCCCACAGAGCCCTGTTGGGACCCTACAAAGTCCTGATGAGACCCTATAGAGCTCTGAAGGGCTCTTTGGGATTTCACCAGGGCTGGTGAGACCCCCTGGAGCCCTGGTGGGACCCTGCAGAGGCCTGGCTAAATCAGGGCTCTGTGGGGGGTCTCACCAGGGCACTGTGGGGTCTAAGCAGCCTAGCTCTGAAGGGCTCTTTGGGATTTCACCAGGGCTCTTTGGTTAGACCCTACAGAGCCTTGGCGAGACCCTACAGAGCCATGGTACAGAGCCATGGTGAGACCCTACAGAGCCCTGGCTTAACCAGGGCTCTGGGGTTTTACCAGGCTTTGTGTGGTCTAACCAGTCCCTACAGAGCCATGGTACAGAGCCATGGTGAGACCCTACAGAACCCTGGTCCTGGTGAGACCCTACAGAACCCTGGTCCTGGTGAGACCCTACAGAACCCTGGTCCTGGTGAGACCCTACAGAACCCTGGTCCTGGTGAGACCCTACAGAGCCCTGGCTTAACCAGGGCTCTGTGAGGGCTCACCAGGGCTCTGTGGGGTTTACCAGGACTGGTGAGACCCCACAGAGCCTTGGTGAGACCCTACAGAACCCTGGTCCTGGTGAGACCCTACAGAGCCCTGGTTTAACCAGGGCTCTTTGGGATCTCACCAGGGCTCTTTGGGATCTTTGGGATTATACCAGGACTTTGTATGGTCTTACCAGGGCTCTGTGGGGGTTCACCAGGACTGGTGATGCCCCACAGATGCCTAGTTTAACGGGCTACCAGCCTGGTTAAACCCCACCGAGACCTGGTGAGACCCCACAGGCCTGAGTGGGGCCTCATGTTTAGGTTTCGCCTAAGGCCTTGCAAACTCTAGAGCCGCCTCTGATCACAGGAGTACCAAGCAGCTGGTGCCCAAGGTTGAAGAAGGGCCTGACGCTGGGGTAGGGGAAGCCTTTGCAATGCTGTTTTTTTTTCCCTGGGTGTTGGGGAGGTGAGAGAAATTCCTGGGGGGGGGGGCCAAGAAAATGTTTGCCCAGGGTCCGATCAGTATTAAAGACGGGCCTGGTTACAATGCAGGTTGCATGCATGCTGTGCAATAAAGAAGTGTATTTATTTTAAATGAGCCTCCAATGCACAATAAATGACATTTAATGCACATGCATTGTGTTAATTTTTTTTTTTGTGTGCAGAGTAAGGCTGACAACATTGTTACAATTGCCTCAAAATACAAGCAGAATTACGAATGTAAGCTCCCTGCAGTTGCTGTGCAATTTCAACAGGAGAGAGAAGACGACAATCAGGCTTACTCTGGACTCGGAATTCCTGATCTCTTGAAACCTATGGAGGCTGCACCTTGCCTAACAAAGGTACACTGTACATTTTAACTGTGACCGCTCATATAAAGGCTTCTCTGGAGAATTTAGGGTAATTTCAGCCATTGTTAGAAACAGAACAAGCTAAGCTGTGAGAAGGTATATAGAGAATTACCCAGTTGGCCCAGCTGGCTCTGAGAACCAGCGGGGCCAACTAGCAAGATACTGAAGCTTGGCCCAGTGGTAGATTCCTCCATCCACAGAGTTTAGGGTAGATGGAGGAATCTGTTTTTCCATATGACCATAGAAAATCTGCAGATGATGTATAGGTGTATGGCCAGCTTAAGATGTCATCAGCAGAATGTAGTTGATGGAAGGGTGAGGTGCATTCAGCAGAATGTAGGCGATAAGAAGGGTGAGATGTATTTGTAGGATGTAGGCGATAGGAAGGGTGAGATGTATTCTCTAGAATGTAGGCAAGAGGAAGGGTGATATGGATATGTAGGCAATCAGAAAGGCTGAGATGGATTCCTTAGAATGTAGGCGAGAGGAAGGCTGAGATGGATTCCTTAGAATGTTGGTCGAGAGGAAGGCTGAGATGGATTCCGTAGAATGTAGGCAGGAGGAAGTGTGAGATGGATGTGTAGGATGTAGGCGATGGGAAGGCTGAGATGGATTCCTTAGAATGTAGGCGGGAGGAAGGGTGAGATGGATTCGTAGAATGTAGGCGAGAGGAAGGGTGAGATGGATTCGTAGAATGTAGGCGGGAGGAAGGGTGAGATGGATTTGTAGAATGTAGGGGGGAGGAAGGGTGAGATGGATTCGTAGAATATAGGCGGGAGGAAGGGTGAGATGGATTCGTAGAATGTAGGTGAGAGGAAGGCTGAGATGGATTCAATAGAATGTAGGCGAGAGGAAGGCTGAGATGGATTCTGTAGAATGTAGGCAGGAGGAAGGGTGAGATGGATTCGTAGAATGTAGGTGAGAGGAAGGCTGAGATGGATTCAATAGAATGTAGGCAGGAGGAAGGGTGAGATGGATTCGTAGAATGTAGGTGAGAGGAAGGCTGAGATGGATTCAATAGAATGTAGGCGAGAGGAAGGCTGAGATGGATTCTGTAGAATGTAGGCAGGAGGAAGGGTGAGATGGATTCGTAGAATGTAGGTGAGAGGAAGGGAGAGGTGGATTCAATAGAATGTAGGCGAGAGGAAGGCTGAGATGGATTCCGTAGAATGTAGGCGATAGGAAGGCTGAGATGGATTCCGTAGAATGTAGGCGAGAGGAAGGCTGAGATGGATTCCGTAGAATGTAGGTAGAGGAAGGCTGAGATGGATTCCGTAGAATGTAGGCGAGAGGAAGGGAGAGATGGATCCCGTAGGATGTAGGCGAGAGGAAGGCTGAGATGGATTCCGTAGAATGTCTGTGGTTTAAGTATTGAAGCAGAGGGTCAGCCTAACACACAACAGAATAGTGTTTTCAAACATGGGTCAGCAATCACAGCTTTTTAGTTTGACTGGTCTGGTTTATGCCTCACAAGACACTTCTTTCATGTGTCTGTGACTACAGCAGCCTGAAGTATTCAAAATGCAGTTATGACAAACTGCTGCAGGAGCATGGGGGAAACCCAATACCCCTCTACTCTGTCACCACCCACAGATTGTGAGTCTTTCTTCTGGTTTATGCTCCTCTGTTATGTTCTCTGTGTTTTTACACAATTTTTTTTTTTTAATCTGTCTATACAACTTTCTATTATTGTTTTTCAGACTAAAGACTGGTGGACGTATGAGTTCTGCTATGGAAAGCATATACAGCAATACCATATTGAAGGTGCGTAAAAAGAAATAACATTTTATTTCTGCCCCAAGACATTTCAAACAACCTTTTAGTCTTTCCAAGACCGTTGGGGTACGTTCAGATCCCACAGCACGCATGAGTGTATGAGCTTTGACATGCGCTGACAATGTGCAGTTGTGCTTGAGATGAATGCTCCAGAATGGCCTACATTCTACGGAACACATCTTATCCTTCCATCACCTACGTTCTCCAGAACACATCTTGCCCTTCTGTTGCCCACGTTCTACGGAACGCATCTTGCCCTTCTGTCGCCCACGTTCTACGGAACACATCTTGCCCTTCTGTCGCCCACGTTCTACGGAACGCATCTTGCCCTTCTGTCGCCGACGTTCTACGGAAATCATCTTGCCCTTCCGTCGCCTACGTTCTACGGAACGCATCTTGCCCTTCCGCCTCCTACGTCCTATGGAACGCATCTTGCCCTTCCGTCGCCTACGTTCTACGGAGCGCATCTTGCCCTTCCGTCGCCTACGTTCTACGGAATACATGAGTGTTGCATTGCGTTTATTTGTTTTTTTTTAAAAAGACATTTGACTTTACTTTTACTTTAACTGTTTTGCAATAAAATTCTCCTGTCTCATTTGAGACCCCCAACAAACTGAAACAATAGAGAACAAGGCTTTTTACCTAGTCCATGAAATGGGACTGCCTTGACCAATGACCTGCCCAGCACACGGTGTGAGCAAGCTCTTGCTCTTTTTGAAAGAGCTTACACTCGGTCCTCTTTCAAACGTGTATTCTGGAGTGAGAGACCATTTTGTGAGTACCTGTATTCAGCAACAAAAATGCAGACTTTGTTAATTTGGCTTGGGTAAATAGCTTTGACGTATCATGCGACTCAGCCCCCAAAATAAAAGAAATGTTGCCCCTGCGAAGAAAATGTTTAATATTTACCTCTACTGCTACCTATGGTATCTTGTGAATCTTGGTCCCAGCCATACACTGTGACTGCTTCTGCCGGCCCTTCAGCTCTAGTTTTATCCATTACATACTCTTTAGGGTACACATTTGCATTAATGGCTCAGAACTCTTCAACTGATAATTTGCAGTGTTAAGCTGTCGGAGGAACTTTCTGGGAACAAGCTTATCACATAATTTTATTGTATGACCTGAAACCTATTATCTTGTTGTTTATTTATAGGTTGCATTTGATATCCTACCTCAAAATTTAGGTGGAACTGGGGGTGTATGCTTTAAGTTCACACCGAGTTTTTGGCAGCCTTGTAGCCTTTTTTGTTGTTGAGCCAAACCATAAATGTTAAACATTTGATGTCTTCCTTTGCTGTATGTGAAATGTAGAGGAGGTTTATACTTTGTCTTTTTTAATTTTTCCCTCTTAGAGTCTGAAGTAAAGGGAGATATCTTGTACCTTGGGTACTATCAATCAGAATTTGACTGGAGCGACGAAACTGCAAAGGTCAGCAGGTTCTCATGTCATTTCTTTGATTTGGTTTGAATGCAAAATACTCTATTAATAGTTTTGTATTGTCACTATTGTTTAAAGTCAATCTTTTAGTCTAAAGGTTAAGTTTTGCCAGCATGTGTAGTAATTATTATAAGCAAGGTCACATTGCTGGTCTTGTTGACCCTCACCAGAAATTTGCCCATGTATGACCAAGCTTTGTTGGTTCAAACATACTCTGACCTTGATTGCTTATTTATCGAATATTCTGTTTCCTTCTCCTAGGCTTCTAAACACCATAAACTTAAGCGCTATCACAGCCAGATGTATATTAATGGTTCTAGGTGTGATCTGAACGGGAAGTCTAGAGAAACAGAAGTTAGGGTGAGTACTTGGGTTTATAATTGCTGCATGTGTCCCCATTGAAGAGATTTACCCTCTATCTGGTAACTGGGGTCTCCAGTACAAACATTGATCTGAATTGCAACTTTAAGTTTTCACGTGAGCGGAATGTGACAACTATCTAAGGGACAATATCCCCTCGCTTTGAGGAAATCTTCTCTTCTGCTTTGTCTCGAACAGTAGTGAATGTAAAAAAACGGCTGACCATATACGGTCCAGTTGATTGAATCAGGCAATATCCTTACAGTGTGTGGCCCTGCCGGTGCAACAGAAGTGAAGTCGACTTATATTGAGGGTGCCAGGGCAAATATTTTTACTCAAACTGGTGAGGCAAAATCTTACATAGAGAAGTCCTTACCTTACAAGACCTTTTCACTGCCCCCCCCCCAGCAACCTAAATGATCTAAGGAATAGGCTGCATGAAAGGACTGCTGTCAGCACCACAGCCATGCCAATAGCATCACTTTCTCTTGCTGAGGAGAGCAAGAATTGTCAATTACAAGGCTGTAGTGCTGAGAAAAATGGTTCTTGTGTGCAGCCTGCTACCTATTCCGTGGCTCTTTTGGCCATCGCTGGGAAGTGGTCTGTCAGTCACCAGTAAGACCTGCTTATGTAAGCTTTTGCCTCACCAGTGAATGCTTATGTGTCATTTCTCCTTATGTCTAGCTAATGTAACTTGTATGTTTTTTTTTCCCTTTTTTTTGCTATTGCAGTTCATGTGTGAGGAAGGCTCTGGAGACTACATTGCACGAGTGGATGAGCCCCAGTCTTGTACTTATGTGCTGACCATACATACTACTCGCATATGCAATCATCCTTATTTGCGGCCTCCTACTACAGGCACCCCACAGTCCATAAAGTGCCATCCGGCTCTCAGCCCGGAGCAGTATGTTGAATATGTGAAAGCACAAGTATGTAAGTAAAGCAGACTGCTTCTTTCTCTTCTGAGAGTCAAAGCTTGTATACAAGGAAAATAAACACTAGTGATTAATGTGTTGTTGCAGCCCACTAAATGGTCAGCATTAGCGGTAGTAGTAATGATCACAAGTAATGGTAAAGTACAACTAGCATGTAGTTCTTAGCTAATGGCATGTTTTCCCTGTGACTGTCAGGTTTTTAAAATTGGTCATCTAAGGCATTGCTGCAAAGAAAAGGGTTAACATTTGTGACTGAGACAATGGTCCGAACCCACTGTATGTGAAATAACGTGATCGTACACAGTTTCGCATCGACCGAGTTATCCCAAGGACGTGGCAATATCACTCCCAGCCTCACCCTGCACAGAGATTTCCCAGCTAGCAGGACAACAATTGCAGGCCAGCAGACTGAGAGGGATCGTCACTAGGGTTGATTAACTCTGTGACAATTGAAAAACATAAACAAGGCCTAGGATACCTTTTGTCCTTTCAGAAGGAATATGACAGGTTTCACTATACAGTAGCGCTCTTCATGGAGACTAGGATACTTTACATTCTTATTTAGAGCGTAGAGATGAACTTAAAGATTTTTAAGCTCATCCTTTAATAAAAGATACGGTGCAGGAAAAATATTCAGAATAAGATGGTAACAAAGAGAGAACGAGATAACAGTGAAGTAGAAAGGAATAAAAATAGTTTACTTAGCAAGTCCTGGGTTTTGCAAGTTCTGACAGTCCAATGCAACAGAAGACTGATCTGAATGGCTCTTCAAGTAAGGCTTGCAAAGGTTCTTTGAGGTTAAAGGGGAACTCTTCTAGGCTGTTGCGAGAGCCTCCTTTTAAAGATAAAACGAGAGCCCTGACTGCCCTGCGTTTTTTTTCCCCCCCGTTAAATTATCTCAGATCAAGCCCAAGCTTGACATGGCTGTGAATTATGGCTGGCCCAGGAGGATAAGGCTTTTCAGGCCGCTGACCATTGTAACCCACCCATGATTTATATGTGTGGATTTCTCTTGACGAGACAACTATTTATGCGATTCATTTTATGATATCATTATCCAATTCTGAGTTATGGAAATTGGATTAATATTGTCACTAGGGATGCACCGATACCATTTTTTTTAAGACCGAGTACGAGTACCGATACTTTTGATAAAGTACTCGCAGATACCAATTACCGATACTTTTTCTTAAAGGGACAGGTCACATTTTTTCTAAAGCAATACAAACTAATGCTTTAAGGTCACTTTCTTAATATTATGATTCATGAGATGACGAGGGAGCATGACGCCGGCTTCCCGGCCAATCAGAATGCTTCCCGGCTTACGGATTTGCTAGCTTTCTGACCAATCGGGAAGCCGGGCAGCGCGTCATTGCACGCTACCCGGCTTTCTGATTGGCCGGGAAGTCGGCTCCATGCTCTCTCATCACAAGTGACGAGAAGCATGGAGCCGTTTCCTGGCCAATCAGGAAACAGGGCAGCGTGTAATGATGCGCTGCCCGGCTTCCTGATACAGGAAGTACTCGTGCTAGGCATCAGAGCATTTGGCCGAGTACGAGTACTCACCCAAATACTTGGTATCGGCACCGATACTAGTATCGGTGCATCCCTAATTGTCACACATTCCTTCCTCATCCAACAGGTGATCTGTAGAGAATTAGCTGAACTGTGCACGACAATTACCATGGAATGCGCTATTTTATGACACCTATCGTAAAAGAATATTAAGGCTAACCTGTCTACCCCAGGCCTAGGGAGAGTTCTAGATAAACAATCCAGTTTGATCAAAGGAACCAGGTTAGCAGATATCTGGTGCTGGAATTTGAGGATGCCTAAGCAAAGTTGTGGTCAGCCTGAGGTAATATGAACTAGGAAGGCTGCATTTTTTGCCCAATGAGGGAAGAGAGCATTTTGTAATTAATATTGACATGCTCAAAGCTCGTTACTGTCACAACATTTACCTCGCCCGCTTCTGATCTCCACTCTCTTCACATGTCAGCATTTGACAATTCTATGTTTATTTGGCCTGGTCACCCTCTGCACACTGTGGCTCCTTCCTCTGGCCCCTATGTCACTACTGTGTCCTGTTTGTGACCTAGAGCCTGGAGGAAAGAACCACAGCTCGCAGAGGTAAGCCAGGTATTCAACAGGCCTAGAAGTGTAGAAGATTTCTTAGCCAACATAGCTCATGAAGAGGGGAGAGATCGACAGCGGGAGGGGTCAGCATTGAGTCTAAACTGACTTTGACTGAGGCTAGAAAATTTTTTTTTTTTTTTTTTAGATAATTATTTTCAACAACTAGTGTTTTTCCAACTTTGCTTTCAAATTTGAGAAAACCCAACTGTTTGTTTTTGCATTCACACAGCGTAGTTCTAGATAGATCTACAGGTGAAACGCGAATAATTAGAATATCGTGCAAAGTTCATTTATTTCACTAATGCAACTTAAAAGGTGAAACTAATATATGAAATAGACTCATTACATGCAAAGCAAGATAATTCAAGCCGTGATTTGTCATAATTGTGATGATTATGGCTTACAGCTCATGAAAACCCCAAATCCACAACCTCAAAAAAGTAGATTATTACATGCAATCAATAAAACAAGGATTGTACATAGAACAATATCGGACCTCTGAAAAGTACAAGCATGCATATGTACTCAGTACTTGGTTTGGGCCGCTTTTGCAGCACTTACTGCAATTACTTTTGCACAATATTCTAATTATTTGAGTTTCACCTGTATATGTCTGTCTGTGTAGTAGGCCCTTGCAAGACTTTCGCTCAATTTCCAAGTGACCGGACACTCCTAGGCTAGGGGCAGACTGAGCTTTCTCTCATTAACACACAATAATTCTGGATCTTACAGTAAACTCTCTGGTATGGTGGACAATATTCAAATTTAGTTTACAACTAATAATGAGATTTGTCAGCATAGTACAGATAGGGTTATTTATGTTAACATTGATGCTAAAATACCAGGAGAGAGGAGGGGACCATCCCCTCCTCTCTTTGCCAGCGTCCATCACCAGGATGGCCGTCGGCAGTTAAGTGTGCGTGACGTCATTTGTGCGCAATGATGTCCCAGCGGGTGTCACTTAGCAGCCACTCTGGGTCACACCTGCACTTGGGCCTCCTCTGTTCCAAATATCACTTTATTTTAATTCGGCATAAAAACCGCAAAACAGCTTACACCTTTCTGCCCAGACCCTGAGCCTTAGTCATAGCTAATATACACATCCACATGTAAAGTCTTGTATACTCCCAACCTCAAACGATAGGTGAGTAATTACCTTAAACAAAATGTACCCATGCAGCATATTAAATGCTTTGCAAGATCAACATTTTAAATAAGCCCGCAAGTGCAGGTCCACAGACTGAAGAACAGCAGTTGGAAAACAGAGGGTTAAATATTGACGCCCAATGCACCTGGATGCATCAATAAACGCATACCTAATACAATGACAACAAAAATTAATGAATTTCAATTGGTGTGGTTCACATCACTGCACCATGTTGATGCGCATCTATTAAAAAGGAGAGCAGACTGCATTCTTCTGCAACGCGCATCAATGCAACACACGTGAAAGCGGTAAAATTTAGTACCGAGAAAAGCTGCTTTCACAACAGAGCATCCAACGTGCCAGCAGCATTTTTTCAAATGTTTTTTTTTTTTTACGTTACGCTATTTTAATGAGAATATTTACTAAATATAAAATGGATATTATCCCTATTTTGCTGCAAAAGTGGAAATACACTTAAAAAAAAACAAAAAACACATTAAATCTATTTTTAGTGTTTTTTTTGTTTGGCCATAAAATCCTTCTTTTTTTTCCCCCCAGCTGACACAAAGCGCATTGTGGAGGAATTGTCAGAAGAATTAAAAACGCTGGATCTTAAAACCGTGCCACACAAAGACTCTGCTTCTGCAGATCAGGAAAAGCCACTGGATGTAGCACAATCTCCAGAGGGATATCCACAAGAGGACAGTGGTAGGTGGCATTGTTAGGTTGCTGATTTCAGAGTCTATATTGTGTCACAAAAAAAATCAACAAATCAACTTATTTGCTCTAAAGACACATGAAGTACACGTTTCATGAATTCCTTTTTTTCAATTAATGAAAATTTGATGTTAGACTCTTAAATGTGTTCTGACATTTCACTGGAATTATTAAAAATTTTAATTTAATTAAAAGGACAGGCTGTGATTGAATATTTGTTACCAGTAGTGTAATATCATGTTGATGCTATGCATACACATATACTGTATATATGCGTGTTTGTGATTTTCTGACTACATTCTGCTTTGGCAGATTCTGCTGCAGCTGAGAGGGCTGAGGATGAAAGCGGTGTAAAGCTAGAGCAAGAAGAGACGGAAGCCGATATATGGAATAAAATATTTCAGCCGCACGATCCAGAAACGCAGACCCCAGATACTGAACCTACAGTAAGCTATCTGTACAGTGTGCATGCTATAAAATATTTTGAAATCCACTTACCGCACACAGTTATTTCATGCACTTAAGTTAATTTTCAAAGACGAGTATACTTGGTTGAACCAATACCCTTCTCCTTGATCCCTTTTCTCAAAAAGTCAAAAGTAAAAGCACACAAATACCTGATAGCTTTGTCTCCCTGGAACACTATTTACTAAAATTCAGTGAGGGGAATTTATCCAAACTAGAGCAGACAGAATCTGGAGCAGTTGCCCATAGTAACCAATCAGCTTCTCTCTTTAATTTTCAACTTAAACAAAAGAGAAAAGACGATTAATTATTATAATTGCTCCAGATTGTGTCTGCTCCAGTTTGGATATATCCCCCTTGATCTATTCAAGTTTTGATTGAAGAGAAAATGGAAACTCTGTGTACTTGCACGCAGCTGATAAATTGAACATATATCTTCCTCATTATCTCTGGCAATGAGATCTTTCTTTTTTTTTTTTAAGCTAAGTCTGGTAGTCCTTGCCCTAATTGGCTCTTTTCAAATGTCCCAACTTTGGCCTTAGAAAACCAATGAATAGCCATCTCTTTCTAAGGGCAACCTTAAAAAGTTCGGTTTACTGCTTTATTCTGGCAATGTGCAGTCCCTAAATAGCAACTCCAGGACCATGGCTTTACTATCCCTTATATTTGCATGTTAGATTAAGGGTGTGTGCGCACAGGCATATTTTGCATGCACCTAAAGTGAGTGCAGAACATTCTGATGTTGAAAGATGAATGCTGCTCGTCTATTTCTATTGTCATTATACCTGTATGGAATGCTTGTGAGTGGAAATTGGTGCTTACTATTTACTTCATTGGGAGCACCACAGTGCTTTATGGCAAAAGCATGGCAGATGCCCATGTGCACTAAACTAAATCTCATTCACATTTAAAATCTGCTTGGAAGCGAGTGATATCGGAATAGTCTAGTTTACTGATGATGATTTCATTGATGTCACAAAGGGCTCAGAAAGAGACAGGAAAACCATCTAACTTTGTACAGATGTGTGAACCATGCTTTTATATTTGTATTTGTCACCTGAAACTTCATATGTAAACACTCCTGCAAGTACACATTGCTTTAGGGTAACCTATCCCATTATATTATTGGTGTGGTGGCAGATGTAGATTTACTTGTCATAATTTCTTATAATGTGGTTACAATGTTTTTGCAATTATTTTTTTTTCTGCTTAATGTAGCAAGGCGTATTCCCCGGTCACAATAATCCACCGGAAGGGGCACAAGGTTGGTACACATTTTTACATGCGATGGAACGATTTCATGAATAATAAAAGTAGATTTTTGTAATGCACAAAATTGTCAAAGGGCAGAAAGTGGTTCAGTCTTTATAATCATGGTATTTGCCGTCTGATAAGTATAGCCTATATGTCACGGATAGACAGACAAACTCCGACTCACCAGCTGTGGTGAAACTACACATCCCCCATTGTGCCTCTTCCTCTGGGAGTCATGCCTGCAGCACAGCTGGAGGACCAGAGTGTGCCTACCCCTGATATATTTTTGTAAAGTTAGAACAAGAAGAGACAGAAGTGATCTATGAAATAAAATATTCCAACCACACGATCCAGAAAAACAGACCCCAGATACTGAACCTTCGGTACACAATCTCTACAGTGTGCATGCTTTAAAATATTTTGAAATCCACTTGCCACACATCGTCATTTCATGCACTTAAGTGAATTTAAAACATGAGTATACTTGGTCACACCAATACCGTTCTACTTGACCCCCCTTTCCCAAAAAGTCAAGAAAGGTAAGAGCACGTAAATACCTGATAGCTTTGCCTCCCTGGAACACTATTTACTACTATTCGGTCTATTTTCAAGTTTTGATTGAAGAGAAAATGGAAGCTCAGCAGAAGGGCCAGCGTTTTCCTGCCCCTGATATGTTTTTTGCTTTTTTAACGCACAGGTTCTGATGCTTTTAAATGGTAACAGAGCATGGAAGGTCTAATGCAGTAACAAAGTAACCATATTTATTCATATGTTCGCTGTTTCCTTTCTCTATATCTAGCATCATTTTATTTTAGAGAGAATGGGTTAATATCACCACCCACAGATTTTACCTTTCATCACTCCAGGTGCACACAAGGCTCTCCGCTACAGAATAATAAGAAATTCGGAAGAACTGATGAAGTTTATTGAAGATTTAAAAAAACATGACAAGGTACTGTACTTCTATTCAGTGACGCCTTAGTTTCCTTTATAGAATGAGGGGACCCTATGTATAAAAACTAGGGATGCACCAATACCGGCTTTTCGGTATTGAGTACGAGTACTGATATTTATCTTTCAGTACTCGGTTCCAATACTGGTGATTCTAGCATGGAGCCAGCTTCCCGGGCAATCAGGAAGCCGGGCGGCGTATCATTACCCGCCGAACGACTTCTTGATTGCCTGGCATGCTGGCTCCATGCTGTTTGACCAGCTCCATGCTGATTGGCCGGGAAGACAACATCCTGGTCAATCCGCATCGAGCCGCCTTCCTGGCCAATCAGTAAGCCGTGCAGCGGGTCATTACCTGCCAGCCGGCTTCCTGATTGGCTGGGAAACTGGCTCCATACTGATTGGCTGGAAAGCCAGCATCCCAGCCAATCGGCATGGAGCGGTTCGTTACCCCACCGCCCGGCTTCCTAATTTGCCAGGAGGCCGGCTCCATGCTGATTGGCCAGAAAGCAGGCTTCTCAGCCAATCGGCATCATGCTGGCCAGCTTCCTGATTGGCCAGGAAGTTTGCTCCATGTTCCCTCATGGCTCTGCCGGTCAGATGAACTCTGCCTCTGACCGGAAGTTCCGGTATTGGAGCATTTGGGCGAGCAAGAGTACTCGCCCAAATACTTGGTATCAGTACCGATACTAGTATCGGTGAATCCCTAATGAAAACCAAAGTTGTTTGTTTTCCCTGTTATGTCCCTGCCTCTTGTTCAAGAGATCCATCAGGGAGTTAGATTCTGCCTTTTTGTATCTGAAAACGCTGAGTTTATTGATTTTATCTTTGAAAACATGTGACAATACAGACGTGGTAAAATCTTGTGTGAGGAGTGAATACATGATCAGATGACGCATATAAGTTTCAATGCTCACATTATTCTAAGCAAAAAAGAGATGAAATACAAATTTATTCCCAATACCAGAGGTAGGTCTGACTGTTTGAAAACTCAACTTTACTTGTGTGCCACTCTTGACCAGCACCGTTTACTATTTTAAATATTACATTTGTATGCCACAGTTGCATTTGTGTATTGCAAAAGAAAACCTTAATCTGTTTTTGTTTGGTTTTGTTACATGGGTGCTATATACAGTGAATCTGTGTTCAGGGGTTTTGTTTTGTTTTTGCAGGATGAAGACAAACCTGCCTCTGAAAACAAAGAGGAGAAGGGTGAGGCAGAATCAAACACAGTGGATGAACTGAAAGATACAGAGGATGAAGATGAACAGGCTCTAATGCAGGAGTTTGAGAAGGAGCTCGAGAACTATCTTCTTCCCAAGTCCGATGTATCCCAAATTAAGGAGAATGTGAAAACCGAGGTGGAGAAGGAATTTAACAACATTATTGATGAGGTAGCCACTAAAACATCTAAATTAGCCAATGTCTACTGAGGAATCCCTATTGTAGCACCTTCACAGAAATATTTATGCTAGGAACCCACATGTACTTAATGCCCCAGGTCAAAGAACTGTTAAGTTTAAGTTTGAAGTCCAGGGAAACAACTAACGCTGTGATATTAGATAGCCATAGAGATGACACACTTATGTCTTTATTGTCAATTGAAGCACACAGGAGCAGTAGATGTCATATATAATATCTGAATACTGGTGTACTCAGTCTCTAATATTGTTTCTGTATAATGTACCACAGATAATAACAAAGGCATCCTTGCATGTTACCTTCCCACACTTTACTCTACATTATTCTGTTTTCCAATCCCCTGTGTCTTCGTCTATTGGCTAACAGTGCTCATATAATGTGGAGCAGAAGTACTACCTCTGGTATACCCAACCTCTGTATTGGGGAATTGTGTCACCTCGACAATCAGATCTGTCGTGGCAATGTGCCTATAACTGGCTGAATGCTATTTCTAAGTTGTGACACAGCCACTATTGCTCTGATCTTTGAATGTCTATTACTACATGTCTGCTTTGGGAATAACACATTTTTATATGTGACCATCATTACTGGATACAGCTTAAGTACTACTTGTACATTACTGCCTACTATCCATATCTAGAAAAGTGGATCCTTTTTTATGTGTGACTGTGTTCTTTTAACTCATTAATGAGCTAAATGGTAGCGTAGGAACAGCTGGTTCTGCCTCATGACTTCTGTCCTCAATGCTGATGTCAGTTACAGCATAGGGCGATGTGCAACATATCCCAAAGTGCCCTTCAAGCACTAGGCTATGCATTCTGGAGCTTCCAGATCCTGTGTTGGCCAGATAGCCGCAGTTTAAAAGCAGTGGTACTACTGCAGGAGTTACCCAGTCTCTAATTGCTCCTTCTTTCAGCGTTTCTCTTAAATTGGCTATATAACTTGCTATTAAGCAATGAACTTTGCATTTTGACACTTCCAGCCCTGTGAGCATTGTGTTATTTAGCTGGATGGTGTGCTTGAGGTCCAGAGACGCAATGTATTCACAGGTTCAGCCTCTGAAAGCTCAAAGTGGTGAATGTGGTACATGACTTGCTAATAGAGGTGCACCGAAATGAAAAAGTCAGGCCGAAACCAAAACAAATACATTTCTAACCTTTTTTTTTTCAAATAAAAAAAAATAAAATACATACATACATACATACATACAGAGTGGCCAGATTATTTTGACCACCTGACGTTTGTAGGCAAATTAGCTATGAAGTTGCTAGAGGGCCAGACCATTATAAATAGGGAACACGTATGTGTGTGTGTATATATATATATTAGGGATGCACCGATACCACTTTTTTGGATCTGAGTACGAGTACCGATACTGAGTACTCGCCGATACCAATTACCGATACTTTTTCTTAAAGTGGCAGATCACATTTTTTCCAAAGCAATACAAAATAATGATTTTAGGTCAGTTTCTTTAATATTATGAAGAACTGTAACTCAAAAGACAACATGACTGTCAAAAAATAAGTTTACTTTGCTTAAATTGTCACAAAGTTGTACTCAACGAAAGTTAGTAAAATCTCAACGTGCCATTTGAAAAAAGGCCACAAGATGGCGTATGGATAGGATGGAAGCAGATGGAATTGTGTAGAAAAGTGAAAAAACCTTAATTTAGCTTAAGACCTCATTCACACAACTAACAGCCGGCCCATGTTATATTAATACAGCACGGTCAAAGATAAATGAATCTTTATTTTATATAATATTGATGAAGCAATGGAAAAAACAATTATTTTATATTTATTCATGCTGTATCAAAATGGCAAAGTTAAGAAAAGGGTGATCAGGGCAATACAGGTTGCCATACCTTTCCAATAGCAATTTGGGAACCAGAATGAGCGAAGCGCACTTTCACTATAGATTCCTCACAGGCAGAGTGCATTTGGTATCACTCCACCTGTGACAGGAGACGGCGTTATAGAGGAAACATCGGCTTATGCGGGTGTGCTCCCTGCGCTGCCGCCTCACTTTCTCTAGCGCTGGCTTCGTTGGCACCGCTGATTCTCCCACGCGGCTCTTCAAGTTCCCCCTTATGCCTTAGCGGCCATGGGAATGGTCACAACTGGGTCTTATTTTCGGGGTAGGTCTTATATTTTAGCAATTCCCAAAATTGGTACTAGGTCTTAATTTCGGGATAGGTCTTATTTTCGGGGAAACAGGTTATTAGGGATCTAAACAGACCCCTGATATTTCCCTTTTAAAATATAAAAAGAGATTGCGGACTCTGTCTGCAATCTCTTTTTCTGCAGCCCATGTTATAAATGAACAAGAATCCTCTATACTGAGTGTTCCTGTTCATTGATAACGTGAGGACATTGTGTGTTTACTATAACCACAATCATGAATGAACAGGAGGTGATGTAGATCACTCCCATTCATTCATAATTGATGCTATAGTAACCATACTATGTCCTCAATTTACACTCAGTGATCACTGAGTTTGTACTACTCGCTCTTCTTCCTTACAGCTGTCACAGGAGGCTGAGCGAGCGTTACGGGAGGAGAGTTCACCCTTCTGTGACAGTGCTGGCTGTCTCCGCCTACACACCGCTCTGCCGATCTGTGACAGCTCACAGCGCTCTCTTCCCGCAGCGCTCGGCCTCCTGTGACAGTTTCTCTCCTCCCCGCTGGGACACAGAGCAGGGCCCAGCGGGGAGGAGGGAAAGAACGGATACGCCGCTGCATCAGCAGAAAAATGGCATTTAACCAAAGTGCAATTTTCGGTCGATATATATCGGTGCATTCCTACTTACTAATATACCCTTAGGCTGGGTTCCCACCCAGGCGGTTTTCCACGCTTTCGTACTTGCGGAAAACCGCTGAAGCAGGGAAATGCCATTATTTTCAATGTGTATGGTTCCCATCTGTGCGGTTTTCCGCGAGTACGGACGCGCGGGAAACTGCCCTACGCCCCAAGAAGTAAATGTACTTCTTGGGGCGTTTTGGTCGGGCGGTTCCATTGGGATACAGCCAAGTATCCCTCGGAAACGCGCGTTTTTCGACCGCGAATCGCGGTTAAAAAAACGTGCGAAAAACGTGCATATTCAATCCGCCTAGGTGTGAACCCAGCCTTAGGGGAATTTATCAAAACTAGAGCAGACAAAATCTGGAGCAGTTGCCCATAGTGACAAATCAGTTTCTGTCGTCAGTTTGTTCAGTTAAGCTTTTAAAATGAAGGAGAGAAGTTGATTGGTTGCCATGGGCACTTTATTATCCAGTCTTTGGGCTGTGAGACAGCTTTTAGCTTACCCGGCACCCCTATCTGTATTATCCTGCGCCCGTGCTACACTTATGGCAGAGCCTAGTCCTGACCATCACCTTTTTTATTTTTTTATTTTTTTTAAGATCATTTTTATTGATTTTTGCAAATGTCTGAGACACAACAATGATAACAACACCATCAACAAACAACAATTGGGTCAACATAACCCAGGCATTTACACATCAGTACACTCTATGTTGGTCATGAGGTTACATGCTTACACAAGTTACACAAGCTGTGGATGCAATATTCAAGGTTCAAGACATGGTGATAAAGCTCTAAGATAGGTATCACAGAACATTGAGAAACAAACTCAGCCACATATATCAGCAGATCAAAAAGTATCACCTAGGGCTCATAGGTCCAGGACTGGGGGACTTGGGGCCAAAAAGTTAGTACTACCCCGTTTCCAAATTTTGTGTTTGAGGAGGACAGCCATGGGTCCCATATGCGACCAAAACGTGTCGGGTTACCTCTCTGCTCGTATGTTAGTTTGTAAATGGGGAGTGCTTGATTGATCAGTCTTTTCCACTCGCCCAGGGAGGGGGCCGTCTGGCTACCCCAGACTAGGAGAATGGTTTTCCTGGCATAAAATAAAAGGAGGCAGATGAATGTCTGAGAACGGGAGGCCAGTGCTAGCTCCCCAAAGAGACCCAGGAGGCAGAATGAGGGGTTGCAAATGTTGGGGAAGCCGAGGCTGACCTCCATGAAGGAAGTGATTTCCGACCAAAAGGCTCTTATGACGGGGCATTCCCAGAAGCAGTGCAAGAAGTCGGCCTCTCGTCCGCAGTGCTTAAAACAACGCGAAGTCGGGCGTAGGCCGGGTCTATGCATCCGGGCGGGAGTGTAGTAAACCTGGTAGAAGAACTTCTTCATTTGGATCAGTTTGTCCCTAGACGCTATTACAGATGACATGTAGCTGCTCTCAAAGTCACCCCAATCATCTTCCACCAGGTCCGGGAGGAGCGACCGCAACTTCTGTTTGCAGTCGTCAAATCTACCGGCTCTGGAGGACATGAGTTCCGCATAGTATGTGGAGATCAATTTTGACGAACCTTCCTCCCGCAGCATTCCCTCCAGGGGTGACTGGGCTGGTGTAAAAGTAGTTGATCCAAATTGGGTACGTATCGCATGTAGCAGCTGAAAGTAGGCCAAAAAATCAGAAGGGGATAGTCTCCGCTCCTCCCTAAGCTGTGGGAAGGTAAGCATCACCCCATTTCACCCCATTTAGGGAGTTATTCGGGTCAGACAAATAAATTAACGTATCAGCATACAGAGAGATCCGCTCCTCCAGATCACGTATCTTCAGGCCATGTATATTCACAGACTTCTGTATCCTAAGCGCCAGGGGCTCAATTGCCAAGGTAAAAAGGATAGGGGAGAGAGGACAACCCTGTCTCGTACCCCGAAAGATACTAAACGTGTCGGATACCTCTCTGTTGATGTGCAGTCTGGCCACTGGGGTGTTATACAGAATCTCAACCCAACGGATTATACAGGAGCCAAACCCATATGCTTCCAGTACTCTCAGTAAATAAGGCCACTCAACGCTGTTGAAGGCTTTTTGGGTGTCTAGCGAGATCACTGCCCTACCTTCAGTCGTGGGGTGAGAATATTGGAGGTTGGTGAAAAGTCTACGGATATTCATCC